CACCATTTACTAGCTGTGTATAAAATACACAGCTGCGGGGAAACCTCTTAACTTCTCTGTGTCTCAACTATCTTATCAGATGAGGTAATAATGTCTTTGTCCACTGTTACTGAGTCAGTTTCAATAGATACCAATCCTATAGGACAGAGAGATCTATTCCAGAGACTTTGCAATACTGCAAATCTTTATGGAAGCAGACCACCACATCTTTCTCCTAAGAAGCTCTAAATGATGAAGATTTTTGAGGAGAGGGCATGTTAATAGAGAAGTACTTTAGCCATGCTAACATTGAGGTTCCTTTGGAAGTGATAACAGCATTTGCTGACCTACCAGTGACCTTACAATGGGTTTTTAGAGGCAGTAAATCAGAAGGGAGAAGATTGCCTCTTTTTCTGCTTCAGATCAGCTGGTGGATTTGAATTGTGTACTTTTAAAGTGGTAGTGCAATTTCTTACCACTGAGCCATCAGAACTTTTCTTGCTATAATCACTTATTTTTTTAAAATGAAGTTATATGTACTTGAATGAATAAACGTACGTAAAAATGACCAAATCAATGCTTGGCATGGTGCTGTGCGATTGTTTATTTAACAAAAATAAAACATATGACTTATTAATCACATAGAAGGAAATACATTGATTCTGACAATTCTCTCATTGGTCACAGACACTTTAGAGCCTCCTCTTAAGGAATTTTACAGGCTCACAAAAAGACCCTTATTTCATAATTTCTGGTCAGGGTTGACATTAACTGATCATAATCCTTGGTTTTAAATCTGCTGCCAAAATTAAAAACTTCCAAAAGAGAAACCGTTGTTGCCAATGAAGACATCTGAAGAATTGGAAGCACTTTTGAAAGGTTATTTAGAAGGAAGAGTTTAAAAAAACAAAACAAAACCAAAACCCCTTCTATTTGGCAGCACTATTGAACTAAGTGCACAGTTTTCTGATGTGGCTGCTTTGAAGAGGAATCTTCGCTCCTTCTACAGTCCCGCTTACCAATCTCCTGCCCTTTGGTGCAGAAATTCAGATAGTTTTATGTGGCATCTCTTTCTCCACGTAAGTAGCCCTGGTGGTGGGAGAATGATGGGCTGTCTACTCCTATAAAGATTTACAACTTTGACACCCAGTGGAGGATTGCTATGAATAGGATTTGACCCACTGGCAGTGGTGTTATTTTGTTTTTGGTTTTTTTTGTGTGTGTGTGTGTGTCTAAGAAGAATAAGTGATTTTACCAGCACTACTTTTTCCCCCTCTCCTTTACTTCTTTTATTTAAATGATTAATTATTTAAAGCATGCAGAGAAGCATTAGAAACAAATGGATTTTCCCATATTTGCCCCAGAAACTTTTTTTCTAAAAAAAAGAAAGAAAATTAACCAGTATTACTTTTTAAATGCCCAAGGAGCTTTTTTAAAACAAATAGACAAGCAAACAAACAAGGAAACAGAGCAACAATTTAGAGTCGTCAGAATCACTTCTTTCCTCCACATGAAATCTAGTTATTAGAAATGACGACTATGAAACACCCCCTGAATCAATTCTCCTCTATTGGACCTACAGTTTGTGATTGTGCTACCTCAATATATTATAGGAAGACAGTAATATTTTAAATTCAGGGGCCAAAATTTGGGTAAAGATTTTACCTCCTGTATTTCATTTCCTAATTATTATAGTAAAGAGATACTAGAAAAATGTTCATTTTACAGAGGCAGAAAGTGAAAGTTAGGCAGAGATAGCCAAGTCCTCACCAGCAATAAATAACACAACCAGGGCTTGAACATAAGCAGTAAGAGTTCAGCTTGTAAACTGTTGGGCTATTCATGCTGTTCTTTCCCTGAAAGGGAATTTAGTCAAAGCTTGTCAGCATTTCCCTCTTTGTCCTCTCCTTCGTGAAGCTCTGTGGCCTGGAGGCAGATGTGGGAGCTTGTTTCCAGTACCTTGGATTCTGGCTTTAAAAATATCCACATCTTTCCCAGGATGGTCTGTAGGAAAGAGTACAGTGTGTGTGTGTGTGTGTGTGTGTGTGTGTGTGTGTGTGTGTGTGTGACACAGGGATTGCTGCATTCTGAACCATGCCTCCCCACCCCTGTTGATTTCCAGTTTGGGCTGGTTTCGTCTTGAGGTTTGTAATGAGGTAATGAAAGCTGTGGGTAGAGGCAGGACTTTGAAGTGTTTTGGCAACACCAGTCCTATACAAGGGTTGCTAAGGAATACCAGTGTTTTGTCCCTGTGAAGTAATGTGATGCCATTCTCATACCATTGTAGGTAGGTAAGAAGGCACTTTTATAATGTTATTGGTGTGATCCTATTTTATGATAGGCGTACCTTTTCCCTATAAGATACTCATCAGCAGCAAATTATTAGCTGTGTGCCAAATTTTACAAGGATCTATAGTTTACTAACAAATAATGTGACAATTTAGCTTTATTGTGGCAGAATAAATGATGGCTACCTTAAGTCATATCTCTACCTATATTTTTAGTGTAACGGGGTTGTTATGGTCTGCTAATTCCTTCCCAGGTTAGGAAACAAATAGATGTGAAATGCCACATGCTTCCCCAGACCTCCCAAGAACTGAACACCTCTCCAGACATCTATTGTAACCTGGCAGTTGGACATTGATTGAAGTTAACCCTTGACAGTAACTCATATTGCCATTTCCGTCTTTAATAAAACTAAATAAGCACCTAGCTTTCTAGCTGTGTGATTCATGCTCTTTCAGCAGCTGACACTTGTACACTATAGTTCTGCAAAAGGCTATCTCTTCATTAGCTTGCAAATTTATTTATTCATCCTGCTCAAGTATTTTATTATTTAGACCATCTGTGATCCACTGATTTGACCACAGCCACCAACTTGATAAAATGAAGAACAATGCTTAGGAGTACAAGTACCTTAGAGATGTTACTGGTTTATAGTAGCTAGCCTTTTAGTCAATGTTCTAAAACACCAAATTCAGTAAGAAGGTAGGAATAACCCTGGGTTAAGTGATGATTGATTACCCCAGACTTGAGTTTTTATGTACATTTCTTACGTACTGAGGGCATTACAGTATTTACAAAAGATGCCTTCTCTAGAAGGTTACATTTTACAGAGACAGAAAGTCATATGCACAGTTTACTATAGTCTAACTAAGAAAGAAAGTGATACATGTCATCTCTAGGGCACATATAACAAACAGTCTGTGAGTGTTCGGGGAGGCAGGTAAGGGTGCTTCTGTGTATTAGGATTAGGAAAGTCTTTGAGTGGCATGAAGTAGAGCTTGTTGGGTAGTACCTAGGGTGGGGGGGGGATGGTTCAAGATTGGGGAAGAAAGGACATTTAAATCAAGTGCTTAAAGGAAACAAAGGTCTGGAAGTGGAATTTTAGAATATTAATGGAGCAGTGAAGTCTGGAATCCAAGTTTCTGTGGGGGTAGGAGTGGGAAATAAAAGAAGACTAAATATGTTTGTTTTGGAGAGGGTGAAATCAAGTTACTTCTTGGAGGCCAGGATTTTGAAGCTTCATCTCACATACTTTGGACACGTGGCAAGGAGAGACCAATCCTTGGAGAAGGACATCAAGCTTGGAAAGGTAGAGGGCCAGCTCAGCAGAGGAAGACCCCGGGTGAGATTGATATAGTAACTAGGGCAATTGGGTTGGTGTGTCAGAATCAGATACTGGCTTAGGACAGGG